CGAGAGCAAAAGGGAATATAATTTAAACGAAATAAGAGGTCCGCATAGGAGAGAACAACTCTTTTTCTTTTTTTTTTTTTTACTTCGATTGAACAATATCGAAATTTAAGAGGATGGCATTTCGATGCAAAATAAATTGCAGAAAAAAAAAAGGTGGGGTTATAGCAAGCCACAAATAACAATTTTTTTTCTAATATTTTGTCAAATAAGATGGAGCTTGACAATAAATAAATAAAATGTAAACTCACACGAAACCAAATAATCGATTTCCATCATAGGACCTATAGGTTATGAGCTAACCACGCTTCTGCTAACTTCGCTATGATACCAATGTTGTTGAAGAGAAAAAAGATGGAACCCTCTCCCAGGATTACTGGCAGTGTCGTGAGACTGAAGATCGCAGAGTGAAGGGTTTCCAAAACAATGAGAACTCTGTGTTGTGTGTGCCTCTCCATAACTACGAAAGGCCGTTCTCCAAGGTTTGATTTGCTCCTTAAAACACTGAGAAACATGGCCCTGTAATCCTGGGACGTGGTGGTTATTTTTTACCCGTTAGATATCTCTCTAAGAAAGCCTCCATCTTTTAGTGATAAACATTAAATTATAAGAGAGAGAAAAATGATAGGTTTAAAGGCCTCATGGCCAGACACGTACCAACAGTCCAATCCAGGTACCCAAAGAGGCCCTAGAGGGTTTGGTCAATCACACAAAAACTAGTCAAACTAGTTGGACTGGATCTTAAAGAAAACGAAAAAAAATATAATTAATAGTTTAAAAATATAAATTATTTTAAAATTTTTGGCCAATTTCAATTTGCTAATCAACTAGTGCTTTTTAGCACTAGTTGGTTACCACTGTATTTGCTTTTTAGCAGATTTCCAATACCGGTCTCTCCAGGATTCCCAAATGTGAGTTTGATTATCCTAAGAATTTTATAAAAATATTCTCCTGTGTCTTAAACAAATGTTTATCCTTTGTGTTCAAAAGGTGCAAGGTTATTACCTTAAGTGATTGTTTCAGGATTTAGCAAGTCCACTCGAACGACGCAGAGGTGAGTTCTAGGGGCCAACTCGGCCCTTGTTTAAAATGATTAAAAATACATATGCTTTTGTTAAAAAATCTTAATTGAACGATTTTGACAGACATTTTTAGATCACTGATGCGGTTTCTATTTGAGAAGTTTTCTCTCAACGTATTCCAATTTTCAATTTTTAATTTTTAATTTTTTGATTTTTTTGAAATTTGTAAAGTATAAATTAACATTTTCAATAGTCCAAATTATATCTATTTTTATTTTTGTTGTTCGGACTTTTATGGTTTTCTAATGAACTTCATGACTCATTTTGCTTTTTCCTGATTTTTAACAAAAATTTTACATGTTCTCTTATTTTTTTAACATCGTTTTTGTATTGTACGATAACGGAATCTGAGTTATTGAGTTTGGGCTAAGGTCCGAGTTTGTGGCCCGAGCTAAGTTGAAAAAATTGTTATAAAAATATTGGAAAAAAGAATCAGAAAAAACTACAATCCTGTAAAGTTTCTTGCATTAAAAGAATTACATTCTATTTTCCAAAAGTGCATATTCTATGCTCCTATAGGAGCATCTGTGTACTTACTTCCTTTTGCAGAAGACATGGAAAAAAGCAAAAATTTAAATTCTGAATTTTCTAACCATGTTTAAAAAAATTGAACGGTTCCTATTCAATCTTGAGGCATTATTTTTAGGAAAGTAGTTTGTGAATTAGGGGATGCACTTCTACAATAGCCTCCCCTCCCCCTAATGCATGTAACATCAATCTTGGAGGTGGATGCTACGAAATGATAGCCCTACGAAATCTCAAAATCAACCGTGTTGAAATTTGGTAAACAAATTTTATTTGTTTTCTTTTCAAACTTTATTTTTTTCAAGTTACTACTACATTCCTCAAAATTTTGAATCGAAAATCAGGATCGATTTTAGAGAGAGGACTTATTTGAATAGGTGAATTGCCTGGTTCACAGAAACCTTGTCCTTATTTTTTTTGCGAATTCGGTTTGGAAAATTTTTTATTGCTTTTGGCATATCATTTGAGAAAGTTACAACCTCAAAACTTGGGGTCCTGAAAATACTTCTAGATTAGGTTTTACCCCATAGAGTAAATGGACACCATGCTCCCTTGGGAGCATTAAATCTTTTGGCTTTGCCAATAGAACACATTTTCCTCATGAAACTAGATCCCGTCCTATTACGTTTTTGTCCCTCCTGAAGTATTTTTACATAAGCAAGAAAGTACTAGTAAAATATTCACCTAACAAAATAGGAAAATAGTAGTAAAAGACAAACGTTTTTTGTTTTTTGTTTTTTTTTTTTTTTTGTTTTTTTGTTTTGTTTTAAGAAAAGGAGACTCTAAAATTAGTCTTTTAAGCATAATGCATCCCTATATCATTAAGATAGAGGCAGAGGTAAAATTTCAAGAGACTACAATATATTTAGGGCAAGCTTTTTATGGTTTTCTACAGCATAGAAGTTCTATCCTCCCCTTTATCCAACCATTCATTCTGAATGGAGGGCTAAGATTGTCCCAATCACAATATCACATCTCTACACTATTTTATTTTTAATTTTTTTCTATAAACTATTTTGACACCAAATTTTGGACGTCCATTCCTCTATTAAACGTTCACTAGCAAAAAATATAAAAATATATTTTCAATGAAATAAAATGACCAGAATACCCATGAAGGTTTTAATAGGTATTTTGGTCATTATATTGTATCAAAAAATTATTTTTAATATTTTTTTATAGGTGCGCCCCAATGAGAAGATGTCACGTACCAAATTTCATATTCATACAATTTATATAAAAAAAACTAAAAATAAAATACTTTGAGACGTAGGATCTAAGATCAAACGGTGAGTGGCTCTCTTGATCAAAATTAGACGGCTGGATGGTAGGGGGATGATAGAACTTCTATGTTGTAGGGGAAGCAGAGAAACATTTTCCATATGCTTCTCCTACCATCCAACCATCCAATGTTGATCAAGAGAGCCATTCACCATTTGATCTTAGATCCGACGTCTCAAAGTATTTTATTTTTCGATAAAATATAATGACCAAAATACGCCTTGAAATTTTTAGAGGTATTTTGTTCATTTTATTTTATTGGAAATATATTTGTTTTATTTTTTTCGCTAGTACTAGTTTAATAGAAGATGGAACGTCCAAATTTTGGTATCAAAATAGTTTATAGAAAAAAATTAAAAATAAAATAGTGTAGAGATGTGACATTGTGATTGGGGCAATCTTAGCCCTCCATTCAAAATGGACGGTTGGATAAGAGGAAGTATATAAGTTTTATGCTATAGGGGAAGTATAGAAAGCTTGCCCTAAATAAAAATGTTAGGAAGTTCCTAAACTATCTTATACGAGTGTTGGGTCCGTTACATAAAAGGGAGAATTGCAAAAGTCAGAGGCATTTTCTCTGGGTAGGGGTGGCAATGGGCCGGGTAGCTAGTCCTGTCTACTTGCTTCAGCCCTAAAAAGCTAGGGCCTGGGCAACATAAGAGTTGGGCCTGGGCCAAGGCAAGAGAGATTTGGCCTTGTCGGTTCAGCTTGGCCCTTTTCTTTTTTTTAATCTTTTTTCCTTTTATTTTCTTTAATTTTACCCGGCTAAGAAGGCTCGCCCCAGCCCACCTATGGCCAGCTCTGAGTCTACGCTGACCGTCATGAGAATAGAGCTGGGCTAGGGCCAGGGCTGGCCCGCTTCAGGCCCTGTTGCCACTTTCCTGCCCCATCTCCAGGGCAGGGTAACGTCATAAAATGCCCTTGTTTAAAGCACGGTTGAAATCATTGGGGACATTATGAAAATAACAGCCGATACAAGGGTCTCCATCCCCTACGTGATAGGATATGGCATTAAGAACTGAATGCTCGAAATAACATGCAGTCTATTCAAAATAATGATGAATAATGGTGTCAAGGTCTTTATAACAAAATTAATTTACAAAGGTAATAAAGAGTAAAAGTGAAAGCCAATGTTAATATAAAACGCATTATAATGGCATTAATGTAAAACTAAAATCCGGAAAACCTCTTATCTTCTTTTTTCCTGATACTCTAGTTTTTTTAAATATGACCGAGGTTTGTATAAGGTGCCCACCTTATAGTATACAAGTACGGCATACCTCAAAATTTTGTCGAAAAGATGTGATTCAGTTGTTGAAAGCCTTAAGATGGCTTGAAAATCGATCTTCAATCCCTAATTTTGAAATCCAAAATTCCAAACACAGCGTGGATTCATAAGAAGTTTGAAAATCTAAAAAATAAAATAGACAACCCACATAACTTGATACATGATGAATTACTTTTAGGATTTGAAATTCTTTATGCTCTTTCCTCATCACGCTCTTTTCTATTAGATCTTTGATGTGCACCTTACTTCTATATTGTAAGGTTGCAACCATATGCGTAACTTTTCCTTCAAATATTATTCCATGTTGAACTCTTTTCCAGCTTTTCGGCTATAATATCCTTGTTTTGTTATGGCTGGCTGCTGAACTTTGATTTCAAGTAAAGAAACTTGGAGATGAGGTGGCAGATGATGAAACTAGAGAAGGTCATAAAGCGGGGGACAAAATCAATACCACTACACAAACAAGAGGCTTGGCCAATACATTGTACATTGATCAAAGAAAAAATAATAGTCCTCTCAACTTTTCTACCAAGAAGGTTACTATTTACAAAAAAGGCTCCATGGAACTCAGTTTTGTACATATTATAACCTTGTTAATTCACAGATCTAGAAAAGCCACCAAGATGGCCAGAAAACATAGTTCTAATAACAGACTTCAGGTTCAGTCACTAGTGGCTAGAGGGAGTTAGCTCCAAATCCCCAGTTTTAGGGCTCTTTCTCTTTATAAAAGGGAGGAAGAGCAAAAACCCAAAAAAAAAAAAAAAAGGCTCTAAATCCCCACTTTTTGGGCTCTTTCTCTTTATAAAAGGGAGGAAGAGCAAAAAAAAAAAAAAAAAAGCTCTAAATCCCCAGTTGTATGGGTCTTTCTCTTTATAAAAGGGCGAAAAAAAAAAAAACACAGAAGAGGTAGGACTTTTGTTCACTCTTGAGGTTCCTCCTAAGCTACTGACTTCAGCTAAGGCTGGTCAAGAAGTGAATTAAAAATCCAGTCAAGAGCCCCCCAAGTAGTTGCTTTTCCTCTAGAACTATTTTCATTCTCTTGATCTTCAACCAATGTATAAGAGGGTTCAAAATCTGTCTTTTGAAGTTGTTGCATAGGGGAGTTGGAGCTTTCCAACTTTGGAAGGTGGAGAAATTGGGGAGTATTCATGTTATCTAAATGAGACCCATCATTGCAGGAAGAAGCATTCTGGTATTCGTTTAGGGGAATCAAAGGTGGAGAATCTGAGAATTGTGATGATAGGTCAAAAACATCCGTTAACAACGGAATTCTTGCTTGGTTGATGGATCTCCAGGCTTCTGTGCTTCCCTTCGTAGACGAACTTTGTTTTCGGAAAGCTCGGCACACCACCCAACCTTCTTCCTGAGACAGCAAACAACAAATAAAAGGATGAGAAACAATGAAGGAAGTTAGCCCATCTTTTCCTTAATCTAGTTGTGATTATGATTAAAGTTATTCGTCATTAAGAGACATACTAAACATATCTTATGCTTGTTTTCTCATACTTCCACTCAAAAAATGTGACAAATGCACTTTAACACTATCCCTAACTTCAGGCCAGGTTTGAATCAAGAAAAAATTCATCCAAATTTAAGGGAATGGGGGTTCTACGCAAAGGTGGTTAGAGAAGCTTCCACCATGACACGACGTCTAGAGAAGGGCTGTCAACATTCCTAGCCTGGGCCAAGCAGTACCTGGACCTAGCCTGGCCCTGGTCCCCATGGGACCAGCATACGCCCAGCCCGTCCCCATGAGACCGAGCAGGGCTAGATAAAACAAAAATATATCAAAATTAAAAGCAAGGAAAAAAAAAGGTTCTAGCCCTAGCCCTGGCCTTGGATTGGCCTAGGGGCCGCATTTTGTGGCTTAGGCCCTAGTTGTTTTTTTAGGGTCGAGCCACCAGGCCCACTGCCACCCTTGCTTAGGAATTTCATTCTCTCCAGGTTCCAATTTAACATTCAAAAAAGGAAACGAAATTTCATCCAAATTTATCACAGATTTCAAGATAAATTCCCACCATAATCCAAAAAATCTGGATAAAGATATTTGTCAATAAAAACAGAATTAAAAGCGTATAATACATACCGGTTATCGTGGCAATTTGGCCATTCAAAGAACTATTTAGAAAACTACTTCAAAATTATCAAAGACCTATATTGCGTCCCAAAAGTTTTTAGTTCAAACAGTTTTTTCATTTTCCAGTTGCTTCAGAGATGAGGTTTGAATATGAGATGTGCCAAAAACTTCAAAACCCTCAAATTTTTATGAATGAATTGCATAAAATTTTCTTAACTTCCTCCCAGTAGAATTTCGAGTGATTTACATATGGATCCTAATTTTTTTTCTAAATTACAAAGGCGGTCGGTTAATATGCTTTTTCTTTCTACTTTTTATTCCAAAATTGCCTTATAGTATGAATTTTTTTTTTTAGTTTTTTCTTTAGTTGGGCAGTTTTTTCTTTTTTTAGTTTTTTTTAGTAGGGCAGTGCCATACTAATGTAAGAACAAAAAAAAAAAATTAAAATTCAGTCTGAGGATGTCCTCGGACCAAGGGGCAACTTAAGAAAAAAAATAGGTGGGTTGACATACATTCTTTTTAATTTCTACTGTGAATGAAGCATTTCTTATTGGGATTGTATACGATGAGACCATTTACCTTTGATACAATATGGTCATGTTTTCATACAACCATTTGATTTGAAATTTGATACCTTGGATCTACCACAAAGTTTGAGAATTTTTTTTTTAAAGTTTGTGCTTGGTAGTATAACAATTATAGCCACCCAATTTCACTTCCAACAGTCAAGATTAATGTGAATCTTGTATGAAAGATAAATAGTCTCATTCTATATTTCCCTTTTCTTATTTTACTCTAGAATTTTTGCAAGGGCCGTTTTGGAAATTCACTAACCTGAGGAGGGGCATCTTCGGTGGTCTGAAGCCTGTACTCATGCATGATCCAATCGGACTTGCGCCCGTTTGGTGCCCGGCCTTGGTAGAAGACGAGGGTCTTTCTCATACCAATGACCTTATTACCCTTCGAAAAGATCGTCTTGTCCCTCCCCGTTGCCTTCCAAAAACCAGCCAGAGTAGCCCTGTTGGTCCTTGTTCCCGTGGGGTATTTCCTGTCTTTGTAGCTGAAGAAGTACCACTCCTTTTGTTCTTCGTACAAATTCCCACACCTTTCTGTGTAATGTTTTAACAAAAATAACACAAAAATATAGCTGCTCATTAGGTGATTTGATCGTCTCGGCCTCGAGATGCGAGATACATGGTACAAAGAAAAAAAATTAGAATTTTATGATCTAAAATCAATCCATCTTGTAACAAGTTATTTGGACTATATAGTTTTAAGATTTTGAGGTGTACATAGATTTGTTTGATATCTATTGTTTTTGAGAATTTTGTTTTCATATTTAGCATCGAACATAGATTTTAAAGTTATTATAAGATTTTTGATACTAGAACATCTTCTAGCAAAATTTAGAGGCTTGCCTTACTTGTATAGTTTAAGGTGGTGGAAACCTTACACAAAACTTACCCTTTTTCCAAGGAAAAGTAGTGCATGTGTCAGGGGACCCACTTCCACAATAGCGTCCCTTGACGCAAGAAACATCCATCTTGGAGATGTACGCTAGAAAATAGTGGCCCGCAAAATTTTTTAAAATCAACTGTGTACAAATTATGCATAAATATTTATTTCTTATTCTTAGAAGTTATTTATTTTAGTTGGGAACTGGCTTTGACGATATTGACGGTGGTTTTTTTTATGGTTCGTAGTTGCAGATATTTTTATTCTTCAAAATTTTGAATCTAAAATCCTTCTCTACAATAAATTTGATAAATGATTCATTTAAATAAATGAGTCGGCCAACTCATAGAAACCTTATCCCTAAGATAGAGTTTTATTTAAGGGAAAAGTTTATATAGAGCTGAGGCTCTAAACAATCAAATTTGAGACTACCTCAAAAAGTTCAAGTCATTTTGATGCCCAAGTATCTTCAAATTGATTATTTCGACATCAAGAATCATGGACATGAGAAAAAAATAGATTTCCAGTTTTGGAAATAGTGTATTTTGTAACCTATTTTTAAATAGTCAATTTTCAAGATTTTCAAGTTTTTATAGGTATGTCGATCTACACTATTTCTTAAGCTTTGAACTTTAGAAATAAATATAAAAATATATTTTAAGGCTTTGAAAAAGATTTTCACCTCTAATTTGATTGTTTAGAGCAACCGCACCCTTTATTTAATTATTTTTTTACTTTCATGCTTCTTCAAGCTTTTTATTCATAGTACCCTTTTTATTCATTCTTTATATCTGTTTCTTATCTTTAAGGAAACAGGTTAGGTAACCTCTTCCCTGCTGATACAACAAAAAGAAAAAAAAGAAGAGAGAGAGAGGAGAGGCCAACTAGGAAACGAGCCTAGCAAGTGAAAGTCAGAGAGCCATTAAAGACTACTGCTTTGTAAACGAACAATAAGAGTGATAAAAACCAGACAAGATCGGCTACTCCAATCAGTTGGACAGCTGACCCCTGTGTTCTAATTTAAAGGAAGAGTAAATTACAAATGGACCCGAAATAAGCACCTAAAAAATATGAAATTATCTCATTATAGGTAGAAACTATATTGAAGGTCGATCAACCCGTGTTTTTTTTAGTTTTTCAAAATTATCTCTCAGTCCGAGAGACAATTTTGAAAAAAATAAAAAAAATTGAGGGTTGATGGATCTTCCCCATAATTTTCGCCCAAAATTACCGCATTTCGCATTTTAGATAAAGTTTTCAGGTCCGTACGTGAAGGAAAAACCTAAAACCTATTATAGTTGAAAACTAGCTAAAACAAGCATTCAACAGGTCTTGGCAAGTCAGATGGACACCTTCTAATCGGTCGGACTTGCATAATTAGGACATGCATTTTATTTTGTAATATATTTTATATTTTTAATTTATTTTCCCTATTTTCATTGAATTTTAGAAAAAGATAGAACAAATTCAACTTGTAAAACCAATTCAATAGCAGGTCCAAATCTGATATTCTCTGCCAATAATTGTGTGTGAAAGAGGATCAAGATCCAAAGAATTTCTATACATTTGAAAAGTAAAATATTACCGTGGAGATCCCAAGGTTCGATCCGGTAGAGATCGATGTCCCTGATGATGTCGAGATCAATCTGTTGAGACGTAATTTTCTTGGTTAGGTAATAACCCACCAACTCTTCCTCTGTGGGATGAAATCTAAAACCAGGGGGAACTATCATCGTATCCATTTCCATTCACTCAATACAAACCTGCAAATAACCACAATTCTCCTCAAAATTGTGAAACCACTGAATACATCATCCATGAGAGAGAGGTTTTAAAAGTAAACCACTGAATATATCATCCATGAGAGAGAAAGAGAGAGAGATTTTAAAACTAGGAACTGAATAATCAGAGAATATGAATTCAGAAAACCAAAACATGAGAAAACAAGAAAATGATAGAGAGAGAAAACCATTAGAACACGAGCAAATGATAATGAGAGAAGCCGGTAAAATTGACTTTTAATGAAGGAGAAGTTGATGATTTAACTCAATTTCAAAGACATAATGATGAGAGAAAAATGAGGAAAGAGGCTCTCCGCCGTTGCCCTCGTGCGCGTGGGCCTTCCACTACCAATCCCATTATTACCGTACACTTCACGTCCGAAATATCAAATTTGCCACTTTAATAATACACTTCTCAAGAAAATTTACTCTCCTAAAGAAAACCACATAGTCCACGAAGGCTTTCAACCACAATAATCTCCACTCTCCCATAAATGTAAATTGTCTTTGAAAAAAATTTATATAAGGTTCCAACTTCAAATTGTAGAAATAAGGTGTACCTCAAAAATTTATATGAGGTTCTAACTTCAAATTGTTTTGATGTTGGTAAACCTTGTAATCATTTTAAGATCGAGATGCATCGATATGAAAAAAAAGAAGTGATTTCGAGTCTCAAAAACAATACATCTTGCAACAAATTATCTGGATTGTTCATTTTCAAGATTTTCATGTATTTATAGGTCTACTTGGTTTGAATCGTCTTTTGAATTTAAATTTCAAAATTAGATATGAAAGTAAATGATTAGGCCTTTTACACCAAAATTACATATCATGATGAAATTTAGAAGTGAATCTTACTTTGATTCCATTAAGGTTGCAAGCTCATGTAAATCACATGCGTATCCATATGAATTCCTTGCGAGCTACTTCTCATTTACCTTAATAAGATTTTCCCAACGATTTTAAGGAAAATTTCATGTTTATTTTCAAATTCAACTGTTGATTTACTTTGGAAATACAAATACGTATTTAAAGGGCAGGTTTTTATTAGTATTATTATTATTATGGGGCAAGTTTTATCATAATAATGACGAAAGCCTTAAAATATTACGAGAGATTCATTTACTTGCATATTAGTGTTATCATTGATAAAATATATTAGGAAAAATAAATATAAATACTACATAATTTAAAAAAATTCATCAAAATACTTATAAGAGATGAATTGTTTAAAATTTAACCCATCTCCAACTATTCCAACTCAAGATCATGTATTTCTCTATAGGTATTTTAAAATTAAATAAAAAAAAATAGGTAACATGGAATTATTCATCTCTCACGAATAATTTGATAAAAGATTTTAAGTTTAATTTATGAAAATCCACAATCATTGAGAAGAGCAGCACTACATTATTCCAACACAGTTCCTGACCAATAAAGCTCCCGTAAAGATCATTGCCACCTTAAGCCTCACAAACCAACTTGAAGAAGAGAGAGACATAAAATTTACTACACACAGTAGAATTCCCATGAAGTTAGAGAGAGAAACTGACCTGAAAATCCCGAAAATTGAAATATGGTGCGCCTCAGTTATGCCCTACTCTTCTGTATTTTCTCTGAAGAAGGGAAGTGAGAGAAAGGTTCACATAAATATAGAGGAGTGAGAAAGAGTGCACATAAATATAGGAGTGAGAAAGAGTGCACCGATCTTTTGCATCCCAAGTTTCTGCCACCGTGGCAGCCGAGCCAGATCGACGGCCGGTTGGGTGCGCCGACCCTGTCCACGTGTAACTCCGCGATCTAAACACGTGGAAATCGTGCCACCGCCTGAATTATAGGAACTATCATTCAAGCCCTGACGTTAACCTTCTCTCTGGGCCCATGATGACGTTATTTGAAACCGAGTTGACTCGATTGGTTCGGCTCGGTTTGGAGGGTGGGGCCGACTTTGATGTCTTGGCATGGAATGAATGGATTCATGCTTCTGACGAAGTTTAAGGAAAGTTGCACCCGCGTGGATGGATAATTATTGGTGAGAGAGTGTGTTACACATGCATGCAGGCTGTTTTTTAGCTTGAGGCCAAGGCTATATGTTAAAGAGCCCATAAATTTATTAAACTATCATGAGAAATTGATAGGAAATGTATAAAGGGCACAAGGTGACAATTATTATTGTTCACTAATACAAGGTCATAATTATTATTGTTCATTAAATGCTAAATCAGGTGGTTGAGAATGTGTCATTGACTAGCCACTCAATGAACTCTGTAAAAACGAGTAGTTATATTGGAGACAAAAATCAAGAATCAAATAGCTAAAAGAAGGAAATAGAAACACAAGATTCTTTCATGCCATTGCCAGCTCTAGAAGAAGGCAGAATGATATCTCGGGGTTATCTATTCAAGGGGTTGATCAGGAAGATGGATTGGCGATGGGGAATGTTGTGGTAACTCACTTTAAGAAAGCCTTTTCTTCTGAAGTTAGATTTCGCCCAAGCTAGACTGAGTGTCGTTCTCTTCACTTTCTCCTTCTGTAGCTAGGAAGTTGGAGAGGGATCTGATAATGGAGGAGCTTAAAGTGCGGTTTTTGCGTTGCCGAGATAAAGCCCTAGGATCGGATGGTTTCCCTTTGGACTTCTTCCAAAAGTTTTGGAATTTGATCAAAGGGAAGCTCCTAGAGATGGTCAAAGGGTTTCTTCTTCGGGGTGAGCTTTTCACAGGGTTAAATTCAACTTATATCGCATTGATTCCCAAGAAAAATACTATTGCAAATTTGTCTGATATTAGACCGATAAACTTGCTTACAAGCCTCTACAAAATAGTGGCAAAGGTTCTGGCTGAGAAAATGAAAGTAGTATTGCTTCATATTATATCTAGGCCACAATCTGCCTTTATTCAGATTGTGGGAGAGGTTCTACTGCTTCTAATATTTGGAAAGCTATTACCTTTTGCAGGCCTTTCTTATCTAGAAACCTTAAATGGTTAGTTGGTAATGGGGAGCGTGTTTCTTTTGGCATCATAGGTGGCTAGAGGAGTATCCTTTAAGGTTAAGCTATCCAGAAGTTTTCTAGAGGGTAACGGATCAACATGCAAAAGTAGGGGATGTATTTCTAGAGAGCGGTGAAAATGTTGAGTAGAATGTGACCTTATCTTATGACCGAATTATTGGGACCACCTCTGACCAGTTATATGCTTTTTTAGAATCTTTGGATAAGGTCTACATCCCGTTAAATCTGGAAGATAATTTAATTTGGGATTTGGAGGCCGATGGGATTTACTTAGTAAAATCTTGTTACCAACTTTTATTCCACGATAGGTGGCGTTGGTCTTTTTCTGAAGTGTCTAACGTATCGAAGTGGCCCATCCCACACAAAATTCAGTTTTTCCTATCGTTATCCTCTCAAAACAAAATTCTTATTATCGACAATCTGGTTAAGAGGGGTAAGATTTTGCCTAATGTCTGCTTGTTATGCAAGGAAGATGCAGAATTTGTCTCTCATTTGCTTCTTCATTATACCTTTGCTTCTTGGATTTGGGGCCATCTGTTTCTTATTCTTGGAGTTCATTTGACCATGCTTCAAGATGTGTTAGGGGTGATCTCTGGACTGTCAATGCCACACTTACCTAAAGTGGGCAAAGTAATCTAGAAGATTTTGAGAGGTGTAGTGGTGTGGGAAATTTGGAAAGAAAGGAATGATCGTACTTTTGAAAGGGTAAATCGGTTGAGTGAAAGAGTTATGGACGTAATTTTTCATTCTTTATGGTCGATCCTAGTAGTAACAAAGGAAGGAAATGGGATTTTGGAAATTTATGTAAGGCTGGATCTTCATAATCTGATGGCAATGAATGTGGTGAAAAGTTGACCCATTAGTTTTTGGTCTCCTCCGATGCATGGCTCTTTCAAACTCAATTTTGATGGTAATTCGCTAAGGATTCCAAGGCCTGTAGGCATTGGGGTATTTGTAGGGATTGGAGAGGGAATGTTTTGTTTAGCTACGTTGGACCAGCGGGGATAGCCTCAGCCAACCAGCGGAGATCTTTTACAATGTCTAAAAATTGTCAAGAGTAGGACCTTGATTGGATGCTGCTTTGTGGAAGGGAATTCCTTAAATATTATCCAATAGTGTATGAAGGAGAGGCGTATTTCTTGGAAACTAGCTTCTATTTGGTCGCAAATCGTAGATCTTGCTGACTTCTTGTCTATTTCCTTTAATCATGTTTTTAGGGAAGCTAATTCCTTAGCTAATTATTTGGCTAAAATGGGCTCTTTTTTGCCAACTCTTACTATTTCTGATGATGTAATACTCTTTTGGTAGTTTTATCAATAAAATTTCTTAACATTGGTCAAAATAAAATAAAAATTCTTGAATGTTGTGGCATACTTTAATATATTAAATGTTACATCTAATGGCTAATAGTGATTGTGACTTGTACAAAAATAAATGATCTCATGGTATATAAATCCCAATTTTAAAATTGGGATTTAGATTTCAAAAAAATATAAATCCCAATTTTATATAATACATTATTGGAGTAGGGTGTGCGTTAAAAATCTTCTAGGAAGGAGTGTCTTGATAGTGGAAAATCCCCAATAGATCATTTGGATTTCGAGATGTAGGGATATAAAAAAAGAATTTTAAATCCTAAAAATAGTAAATCTTGTAACAGGTTATCTAGACCATTTATTTTCAAGATTTTTAAGTGTTCACATATCTACTCAATCATTACTATTTTTAAAATTTTAAATTCTATAAATAAGATGAAAATAGATTCCCAAGTAACACCAAAACTGCATCTCCAATAAAAATTTCAAGGCGCACCTTACTACTATAGGATAAGCTGGACGCCTTATATAAACCTTGCCCATTAAACAGTAGTCTATATTTTTGGGCACTTGAGGGTGGTGTCAAAAAATTTTAAGTTTGTTTATATTTTATTTTTCCCTTAAGGTCCTAACAAACCAAAATACAAAAAACCCTGAGAGTATGGGTATTTTGTAAATCCAACTTATGAAATGGTTTGAATGCAAAAGAAACACTATAGTGTTTGAGCCAGCTCGACAGTGAGTTGGGTGCTTCGCCCCAGTTAAATGTTGTACTTTCAAAATCACAAAATATATAACTTTTGTGTTTGAGAAGTTCAAATCTTGCACTTTTGAACTACCCAAACACTTGATTTGATTT